GAAAAGGACCCAGAAGAGACCGACACTATACCCCTTCCCCCCCCCCCCCACCCCCCCGGCCGAAGCCGGAATAGCAGAAAATGAACGTCGATGAGCTATCAAATTGCAGAGTAACACAAATGCGTCGTCTCATGTTGCTGGTGCTATATGTTGCCCGTCTCGAAGTTCGTGCGCTCAGCATGAATCTCTCCAGCCCAGGCAAGGCACGGACGCATCCTACGATGACGTTCCACTCCTCGCTTTGCTTCCGGAGCAACGAGGCGCTTGCACGACTGGAAGTCGATACATGCGCCAAAACGGTGAGAAGTCCGATTGTCGTAGCTTCTACGTATACGACGAATGCGTCGTGGTATCAAACGTTCTACAGCCGTTTTCAAAAATCATCAGAAAGTCGGATTTTCTGGGAAGCTAGTCTATGGACAAGGTCCATAGACCCACTATTGTCCTGGGGTGGCACCATCGGCACCACTGTCAGCCCAGTGGCCTCGGCCACAAGTCCACATGGGAATATGCCTATTGTTTGAGCTACCAGCTATGATTGCATCATGCACTGTGTGCACGCTCATGTCCTTTCAGGCCGTCCCGCCCCCCGTGAGAATCCCGCCGTTCTGGCCACATCTGAGACAGAGGCGGGTATTGCATGAGGCCACTGCGCCTCCTTCCTCAACAGTGACTCCCGCCATGACTCTCTCCAATATCCTCTATGCTTGCTCCAGATTCCCAGGGTTGTGTGATGAGCTAGAATATGATTCCCTCATACGATATCTCGAGCTACTCTACCACCTACGACCAACAATCATACACTTCTTGCATCTCCCTGAGGAGCGTGCTGCCATACCCCCAGAAACCCTACCGATCCATGTTCATGACTTTCTCATGGCATCACTTGACATTTCAGATCAGACTGCAAAAGCTATGTGGGCTGCCTTGCGGGAGTTAGCATGGAATCACGTACCTAGCGGCGCAGAGCTTGAATCAACAAATCTGGCCTGTCTGCAGCTCTTCTTGCAGCATGGATTATCGCGGGGCCTTGGTATGTGGATGGTTATGTCCCCAAGCATTACCCTCAAAGCTCACAATGTCTTACAGCCTATCATCACTTGTATCCCCCAGTTAGTCGGTGTCTTGACCCCAGATGTCAACGAAAGCGTCAATCAACCACTTCAGCTCCTCGTGAGCGCAACCTCACAGAGCCACTCACCCACCCAGTCACGGTATTTACCCGAGAGAATGGTGCATTACCTGGCTTCACAACATCGTTATACTGCCGCGGTTAGTGTTGTATTCCGCACAAGTAATGTCACGTCTATTAAGATTATCACTCAGGTTGTCGGACCCGCTATTATCCCAACTATTATGTTCACCACAACGCCACTCATCGAACATATTATGTTGAGCCTCATGTAATCACCGTGCTGGAGATCGGCGACCATTACTATATCGAACGGAGCCTATGTACATTGTTCGCTAATATGATGGTGATGTCATGGTGCGCAGTTACTAGAGCATCACTTCCGGATTGCTCATACTCTGTTGATTAGGTGTTCAGCAACTAATTGTGCACGTATCTATAACCATGCCCTCACACGGCCAAGCCTCGATCAGTACATGCCTGCCAGCACTCTGAGGGACACAAGACGCCGTGAAATGAACGTCGAGGATGTCTGGACTGGCTTCTGTCTTGATGGCCTTCTCCTTGACTTTGAGATGCGACACCTTCAACTTGGACGACCAGATACGCTTGAGCTACCGCAACAGGCTCCCTCTCAGATGGAACGGATGGCTACAGCACTGCGGGAACGTAATCATCGCATGGAAGGTCCTGGATCACCCTTTTGGAATCACGCTTGTGACCTATGCTGCAAGGTTACGCTTGGGGATAGCAGGAAACCTCGTAAGATGAAGCTCTAGCCCACAGTTTGTGTTCTCATCACAAATACCTAGAGTATGTCCGTGCTGCAGTCACTGATGGGATTACCATTGGACACCCATGCTGCGCCTATCATGATTGCAAGACTCCGCTTCATTCCGTCAAAGACCTTTGGTGCCCTGAGCATGCTCACCTCAAACTCAAGTGTGTCGTTGTCGGCTGTGAGAACAACACCTCTACAGGTTATCAAACATGTTCCGAAGCATCGCACCGTGCCCTTGAAGCCCATCGACGAGAAGCAGCCAAGGCTGTGTTTCAACTGAAGGAGCGTCTGCGGCGGGCCCGAACATCTCAGACTCATGACTCCCTGTCGATGGACACAGCCAGTCTTCCTGGCTCACTGGATGGTGTTCTCGAGGGAGCTGGTCTTGACGAGGACGAAGATGTTGTGGTGGATGACCGTGGGATTCATTCAGGCAAGGATCTCATTGATGACCTTCCTCCGAATGAGGATGTTGTCTGTGATGGGAAACCTGCCGAAGGCAATGTCCGACCGAAAGCTCGATTTGGCCGCCGTCGAACCCATAACGAAGAGCTTGTTGTGGCTTGTTGCGGGACTATTCTGTCGCGCGCGACATTCTTTGGTTCAGAAGCACCCAATGGTGTCCGTGTACGTCCTTCTCACATCACAGTGGTGTACGTCCTCAATGACTCGCGGACAGAACTTCTGGGTTCAGTGTTTCCCGACTGAGAAGTCAATGCCGCAATTCATGATTCATGATAACGGCTGCAAGGTCCTGGCGATGATCGAGAATGATCCTGACGATGCCATGCGCGAGCGATTCAAGAACAAGGCCATCGTCGTTGATGTTTTTCACTTCAAGTTGAAGCACAAAGAGTCTGACAACTTCTGCAGTACTCGATGCAACCCTGCACAATGGCCGGAACTCATGGCCGATGGTAAATGGCAGTTCAACATGTCTGCTGCTGAGCAGACCAACGCATGGTTCGGTGGATTCCAGGCAATTGTTCGGGAGATGCAAGTAGATCGATATAATTTCTTCCTTGATGAGATGATTCGTCGACGCAATGAACTTACCTATATGCAGCTCAAAGAGAAAGGGAATGCGCCTTATTTCATTCCTAGATCCACATTACTTGATCCGTAGTATTCACATTAAGTACAGGTAACAGCTGATGAACTTCTGGATCTGAAGGCAAGAGCGATAATTCCCTAATATATGATCCTCAGTCAAAGTATAAGGGAAAAGACTAAGTTACGCATGTAGTACCTAATATATGACTACAGAGGCATCATAAGTACGTTAGGACATGAGGGACATGAAGGGACATGGCAGACTCACTCCTCAGTCAAAGTATAAGGGAAAAGACTGAGGAGATGCGAAGGGAGAGCTCCTGGTATATGTGAGGGAGCTCGAGGGAAGCATTTCCATAAAGGGAACAAAAGAATGTGCCTAAAGCGGTAATATCAATCAGGAAAGATAGAAGATCGC